GTTGGGCAAGCATCGTTGCCTGGATTGAAGGATCTTCCTTTGTCCAGGCTGCTGTTTGGTCCATTTACCTTTATGACCAGGCAAGAGAGACACAGATGTAGGGAGGGGAAGCATGACGTTTTCTCCACTACTGGATACCAACAGCTCTGTCTCTTGGTGGTCAGGGTAAATTCTGTGCTGCCAGGTGGTGACTGTTTTGGGCTACTAGGCTTTTCTGACAAAACATAAATCTTTATTGTCAACTTGAATGGATTAGAATCACCTTGGAGACACACCTCTAGGAGCGGCTCCTAGGTTATTTCTAGAGACATTAAACTAAGAAGGGAAGTCCTTCCCTGATTCGCAGCACCAACTCACGGAATGGGAGTCTATAGAATAAAAATGGAGAAGAAGTAAGCTGGAGAGATGGCTCAGTGGTTAAGAGCACTGACCGCTCTTCCAGAGGACCTAGGTTTAATTCCCAGTACCCACATGGCAGCTCACAAATTTCTGTAACTCCCAGATCTGACACTCTCACAAAGACAAATATGCAGGCAAAGCATCAATGCACATAAAATAAAAAATTTATTTAAAAAAATAGAAACGAGCAATGAGCTGAGTGTCAGCACTCAGCTCTCTGTTTGACTACTGGCTACAACTGGCTGCCTCACCCTAAACCTTCCTGGGCATGGTGGACTGTACCCTCAAACGGTGAGTGGGGATACATCCCTCCTTAAGTTGTCCTTTGTCAGATACCTTGTCATAGCAATGAGAAAAGTAACTAACTCAAAGCCCAAATGCTCGGATGCAGCCAAGCTGCCTGGTTGGAGGTCTCCTGCAGCATTCCCTGATGGAAGCAGGATTCTGGTCCCATGTCCCGCTTGCACACATTTAGAACGTAAGTCCTCTCTCTAAATGGGCTGTGGTGAGTGATGGTGAGTGTTCCATTCCCACGTGCCTTGGTTCCTGATATTCCTATTGGTGACATAATCTCTACAAAGCCCTGTGAGTCAGGGTCCTGAAAATAGTCCCCTTGGTGGGCAACAGTGGTAAGTGTACTGCCACTCGATCCGGTGGCAGATGCTCATCTACTCTGACTTGTGTCCTGTGTTCTGGTTTCCTTTCTGTTGTAGTGCTAAAACATTCAACCAAAGGCAGCTTAGGGGAGGAGAGGGTTAACTAACCTATGGGTTCACCACTGAGGGATGTCATCACAGGAATTTAAGCAGACCCAAAGGGAGAAACCATGGAGAAGCACTGCTTGCTTGTGCCCTCTCTATCACTCGTAGGCTAATGCTGAGCTAGCTCTCTTATAGAGCCCAGGACCACCTGCCTGAGGAATGGTGCCTCCCCCACCCCACAGTGGGCTGGAACCTACTACATCAAAGACCAATCAAGACAATCCCTCACAGACTTGCCCACTGTGGTGGGTTTAATGAAAATGCACCTCACAGGCCCAGAGGGAGTGGCACTTTTGAAGTGTGGCCTTGTTGGAGTAGGTGTGGCCTTGTTGGAGGAAGTGTGTCACTGGGGGTGGTCTTTGAGGTTTCAGATGTTCAAGCCAATGTCACTCTCTTTTCCTGCTGACTGCCGATCCAGGGGTAGAATTCTCAGTACTTTCTCCAGCACCATGTCTGCCTGCATGCTGCCATGCTTCCCACCGTGACAATAACAGACTAACCCTCTGAACCTGTAAGCCAGCCCCAACTAAATGTTTCCCTTTATAAGAGTTGCTGTTGTCATGGTGTCTCTTTACAGCAATAAAAACCCTAGCTAAGACATTCACTGCCAACACTCCAGAGACAGCAGGACCTGGGAGAATGGAGCCAAGGAAAGAGACAGACTAATGTCTCCTGCAGTAGCTGACTTTATTCAGAGCAGCAGACAACTTACACTCTGAGAGTTAAGAAGAGTCACATGAGTAAAGTCCATACGCGTTCAAGCTGTATACGGTTACAAGGACAAGCTGAGCGTGGCAAAAACCATTCTTTTCCATTGAATTGTACAAATTAGAGTTTAAACATACCTGATAATCTGTAGTAAGAGGTAATTAATCTGAAAGCAAAAACCTACTCCTTTCTGCTCTGCTAGAGGGGGCCCAGAAACGCATTCCAAGAACATTTTTTTTGTGTTTGGAAGAAACTCAGCCATAAGACTTTTGTCCTGTTTTCTTGGAGTGTTCCCACAAGCACTCAGAATTCTCACACAGCTCCACTTCTGGGCTGTATTCCAACATCCCACAAACCAGCATGGCAGAAACAATTCCTCAACTGAGGCTCTCCTCTCGATGACTCCAGGTTGTGTCAAGCTGACTGGTAAAGCTGACTCAAACATGTGATGTGAATCACATTCAGAAACACTGAAAAAGTGGCACCATCTGGGGCCTGTGACTAGGAAAGTCAATGAAACACCTGCAACGTAGCTCTATCCTTGTCCCTCGGGATAGAAGGAACACAGTCACCAGCTGCTGCCATGTGGGCACTGTTGGGGACCAGATCTAGATGCCTCAGGGCAGGGTCTCTGTGGGCTGGTCATAGGATACTTGGTGGCATTGGAAGCAAGATTTTTTTTTTGTCATGTTGTCATCTTTTTTGTTGTCGCCTTTGCTGGGTGATGACGTGTAGCACAACAATTCTCACATGCCCTGGACTTGTCATCCTCAGGCCGCACCCCAGGCCTTCTTGAGTGCCAGCTCTTCCAGTTATTTTTATCAACAGGCCCCTACAAGTGTGGCCACATCTATGAGCCTGTGTATACCCCAGCCTTGGGCGACAGCTTTACCATACAGCATGGATAGACATGCACCGCTGCATGAGAGAAGCTGTATCACTTCCACTCAGTTTTACCTTGCACGTCTCTGCTGGTCCACCTCAAGGCCAATCTTGGCTTCGGCCACTACTCTCTCCTTGTGGCCACAGGAAGACATCAGTGAGATGGTGATCACAATGACATAGCACATTACTTTGATTCTTAGAGGATGTCTACACAATTCCAATCTCTTCTGACAGAGGGTGGCAAGTCAGAACCCTGGGCCAAACTACAAACATGCATCATGTCCATCTCATGGGAATATGAACTGTTTCTGCTCCTCTTTTTCTGAGCTGAATAGGGATTAAAGCGCCATCTTCATAGAGCTTACAGTGCTGTGGACTGAGCAGGGGCTTACCATCATGTATCTTTTTTTGTGAGGCATTTAGTCAACCCCTTTGCCTTTTCTTTTTCTCCTCTTCCTTCCCATGCTCCCTCTTTTCTTGAGACAGAGTCCCATTATCTAACCATCTAGTGGATAGCCTGGAAATTTGTAGAGATCTACCTGCCTTCCCTGTGCTGTGATTAAAGGCATATGCCACCACATCTGGCTTCAGCCTCAAGCTTTCAAAAAGAGGATTTTTTGTTTTGTTTTTCAGACATGGTCTCATTATGTAGCCCGTGCTGGCTAGGAAACTTCCATGTAGCTCATGCTATCTTTGAACTCATAATCCTCTTGTCTCTCAGCCTCCAGAGTGCTGGGATTACAGGTTTGAACCACAATGTCTGGATTACTTGTTTGCACTTACTTATTTTTATGTCTTATGTGTGAGAGTGTTTTTCCCGAATATATGTCTGTATACCAGTATGTGCCTGGTGCCAAGAAAAGTCAGAAGAGGGTGATGGAACTGGGGTTAGACAGTTAAGATCTACCACGTGGGTGCTGGGAATTGATCTCAGATCTTCTGGAAGATCAATCGGTTAATCACTGAGCCATTTCTCCAGTCTCACCCCTTCTTAAATTCAACATTAGTTTTATTGAATTCTCAGAACTTCAATATAGTTTTGACAATTATGTATATATTCTGTCTAAATTCTATGTAAGACATCTGCTCTGTAAATACTTTCTTCTAGTCTGTGGCTTGTCTTTTCACTTTCTTAGTGGTTTTGGTAAGAGCAGAATAATTTAATTTTTGATGCAGCCCAACTGATCAGTTTGTTCTTTTGTGAATCACGTTCTTGTCAATGAAGTCTCTGTTAGATCACAGGTTTTCTCCTGTGCCTTGCTCTGTGTTTCATTGTTTCAGGTTTTATGTTGAGGTTTATGAACCATTTTGATTCACTTTTGTATATGGTGCAGATATGAACTGAGGTCCCTTATCTAATAAGGAAATATGCATTAAAATATCAGTGTTGCTCCAGTACATGCCTGTCAGGATGGCTACCTGGAAAAGAATGGCTGAACTCCACCGTTGCTGTCTGGTGAGGATGCGATTGACCCAAAGTTCTCAGGGACTGCTGATGGGAATGGAGAAACATGGGGGGAAATGGTTTTGACAGATTCTTCAAAGATGCAAACATACAACTGGAAGAAACAGTAACAGGCAAGGTTACTCAGATTTTTATGCCTCTCCCAACCCACCAAGGGTCTCATTCCAAACACTTCAGTGTCCCAGTAATTAAAAAAGTTCCCTGGGCAGGCATGTCACCATCCTCCATAGGACTTCCCATGCATTCTCACATTCTTTCTAACATCTTAAAAGCTCCCTACTCGTATTTCCATTTTTACTCGAGGAAACCGAGTCAGAGAAGTTAAAAGGTTTAGATCAAGGCCTGTGCTTTACAGAGCAGCTCGGGTGTGCGTGCCTGTCTCGGAAGAGTCTGTCGTCTTCTTGAGTTTCTTTTTATTGCTGTTTTCCAGGATCGTTGCTGTTAGGTAGGGTTAGCTATGTCCAAGGTTTGCTGCAGAGGTATAGATGGCCAGGGGTTGGAGTGGGAGGGCTGAATAGGAAGGTGGCTGCTGCTAAATTGCTCAGAGTGAATGTCTGGGCAAAGGAAGACGCTAGTCTGGCCTCAGCCCACCAACATGACCTCCTGGGGAGAAGGGACAGGACAAGGGTCAGCGGGCCCTCAGCGGTCGTTGCCAGACTGCTGGGAAAGCCAGGGTCTCCTCCCAGCAGCACTTGTGTGAAAGTACTGGATCTAGCACCCGGCAAGGCCATCTTCTAGGCCCCACCCCCTCATGCTCGCCCCACCCCACTCCGGCGTGCGCATCTGAAAGTGAAAGAGCGTTCGGCTTCTCGGCGCTCGCTCTCTCTGGTCTGGCCGCCCGCTCCAGGCTGGTTTCTGTTCTGCGGTCCCGGTGGGCGGCGGGATGGAAGAGCCCCGGGCCGCCGCGGGCGCGGACGTGTCGCTTCACAACTTCAGTGCAAGGCTGTGGGAGCAGCTCGTCCACTTCCATGTCATGCGGCTGACGGACTCGCTCTTCCTGTGGGTGGGGGCAACGCCGCATCTACGCAACCTCGCAGTGGCCATGTGCAGCCGCTACGTGAGTGTGGGCGGGGCCTGGAGAGGACCGGGGCGGGGGTGGTCCAGGAACTTGGTGGGGGCCTGGGGGCGGGGCCGGGACTGATCGGGGACAAGTGGACCTCAAGGGGGTGGGTTCGGGATGGAGTGTGACAGGTGGGACCCCCAGGGGAGGGGTTTGGGACCAGAGAGACTGACGGGAGTGAAGCTGGCCACGTGTAGCCCTGAGATGCTTTCTTGAGGGGCTTCAGCGCGTGCGTCCTCTGGTCCTTGCCGGGAGACCTCGGGCTGGAGTCCCCAAGGCCTGCTTCTTGAGCGGTGGGGAACTCAGGACACAGTCCGTACTTAAACCACCATAAAAGGAACTCAGCCCAGCCCCTGAGCTCCGAGTCCACCAGAACATCTGCTCTCTTTGCACCAGCGCGCACTTGCCGTCAGTCAGTTTTCAGCCATACCGAAGTTTAAAAATTTTACATTGGGTTTGCCTTGGCCCTTCTCTCACAATTTCTGTGCCCAGAGTTATTAAACCCTGGGCACTTCCCTCGGTGGAAACAAAAGCTAGTGTCACTCTTTCATGCCTGTCACCCAAAGATAAAACAACTTCTTTTCTGATTCTCGCTTGCCATCTGCATGCCTTTCCTGGGGTTGTTGTAACAAAGTGGGTGGAATAAAGCCCAGATTTGTTTTCTAAGTTCTGGAGATTCCCAAAAGCAAAATGAACTCACAGCCTCCTTCTGGAGACTGGGGCGGGGCGGGGGGGCACGTGTCCCTCAGCCTCTTTGTTAGCCCTTGGTTATTAGATGCCACACCGTAGTCTTCCTTCCCAGGCGCATGGCTCCTTTCTCCCTGTGGCCTTGCATGTGCTGTGCAAGTGCTCCGCCACTGATCGAACCCACCACTCATATTGGATGAAAGGATCCCCATACTCTGGTATGAGCTCACCTTGTATGTGTGTGCACATACATATGAACTTGCATACATATGCACCCATGTTTTGGGACATGTATGCATATATGTATTCACACCACACATAGGCAAAAATTAGAATAAAATAAAAAGACAGGCCAAACATTGCCATTCCTCTTGAAGGCCGAAGGCCTTCAAGATGAACTCAGAATATGAGCCCGAGTTTCTAGTGATTCCCCACAGGGCCTGTCGTCTCTCAGTGTTCTTCCGTGCCCAGTCGTTCTTGCAATGCTGGCCTCCTCTGAGGTTTTAGTGTTCCAAGGCAAAGTTTGTGTCTAGCGCCTGTCAGGCTTCTCGTGAAGTTATTTGGAGAATGGTTGAAACCTCTTCAGGAAGTCCCAAGTTGTAGCTAGTCAGGCAGTAAGGGCTTACTATGTAATCAAGTTTTACTAAACATGGCCACGTCTTGTATGCGAGTAGAGACTATGGCAGCTTTTGTGTTTTGATGGCAGGGTTGAGGGGGCTTGTGGCCACTGACACCTAAACTATTTACTGTCTTATCATTCCTAGAAAAGGTGTGCTGGTCCATGAAGGACCGACACAAAGTGTGTGTGTGTGTGTGTGTGTGTGTGTGTTTTCTTCCCTTACCCCCAAACTTGTCCACAATAAACTGTGGAGCACAGAAATCTCAAGTTGGCCTGTTTTGATAGTAGCATGGGTTTTGGTACCCAAAAAGGATGAGGCTGAGTCAAACCAGCCCGAGGATGGCTGGCCTGGGATGTAAGATATTTCTGACCTACTGTAGGAAATTGAAGGAGATGCTCCCGCCTTAATAAATGTGTCCTTGAGCGTGTGTCTACTGCGAGACCAATATCCTATTTGAAAGTAACGAATTATATTAAGAACAGTAACAAGGGGGGTGAAAATGTATTTTTGGTGTCACAAAGCCAGCTGGTAAGGTAAATTTACTTCAGGAGGCTTATGTGTAAATACTGTTATATCAGCTAAATGTTGAACTCAGAGTCTGCAAACAGCAAGTTTACAATTATACTTGTGTATCTTTTTCAACCAAAAAAAAAATGACAGAAATGGATTTGTTAATTTCTTGCTGTTTTTTTTTTTTATTATCATGTTTGCTATATACATGAAGAAATTTCCGAAAGTGAGTTTAAACCCTTAAGAGATGAATGGTAGTCTCTGTGCCCTGCCATACTGTCTGTTTGATCAGTTAAGTTGTTTCCACCTGGTCAGTGAGGCTAGGCTACCAAACACCAGAGCAGGTTAGTGAGAGGGTCTTTTCCTGTTCAAACTAACTTTTTTTTCCTTTTTTTCGTGCTGGATGTTGAACCCAAGGCCTTGTCCATTCCAGGCGAGCACACTACTGTGTTACAATTTATTGATTTTTAGCCAAAACGAGATTGGTCAACCATTTTATACAAGGCTTTATTTTTGGTATTTGGATTCCAGTAACTAGTGTCTTTTCAAAGTTCTAGGTCACTTATCATCAGAAATCCACACAAGCCTTCAGGGGACGGGAGCTGGGCTCTCGTAGGCTTTCCTGAGGAAGGCAGGCGCCTTGCTTCTCAGCCGAGGAACCAGACTGGACACCCAGACTCTGGTCACACTTGTTGCTGTGGCCTTACTGAGTTCGTTTACTTCCCTCTTGGTTGGAATGCCCTTCAGGATACTTTGGAGTTTGTAACACAAAAACAGTCCCTGTATGTGAAACGAATCCTAGAAATCATTGACAGCTCCATGGGTCCAATTAAAGGTGGCTTCTGTTTGCTCTAGTTCTACTACCTCTTCTATGCCTCGGTCACCTGTCGTGGCTGTTGACAAATGTCAGCCCTTTGGGATACTTGTATGTCCTTTCCTTGCCCTGACACCTTGTGTGGAACCAGAGCTGCCTGGTTGACCCAGCAGGAGAACCCATAGTATATTCTTTGCTCTCTTTTCCTTTAGGACTCCATCCCTGTGTGCACCTCTCTTTTTGGAGATACTTCTGACACGACCTCATCTGGCCTTGCCCAGCGCTTAGGTATGTACCTACAACTAATGCTTTGACACCAGCCAGGTGTGACCCACTGTTTCATTTCCTAGGGCAGATGGCCTCAGATGTAAAGAATCTTCATATTAGGGACTACTGCCTCATTACCATTGGAAGCCAACATCTGTCCTTTGGGTCTTATGGGACACTTACTTAGCCTCAACAGTCTCATCATCGTCATCTCCAGGAACTTTAGGGATCTCCTACCATCCTTCTTGGCTCCCCTCTTCAATCTGTGAGCTGATTTATTTTCTTTCAGTGAGTGCCTCATCTCCTTGTGGGAGAGAATGAATCCTGCCCAGGGGCAGCTGCTTAGGGCGGCTCCCTGGGCCCCATGGCAATTTTTATGGAGCCTATGGCAGAGTCACCACTGCAGGAAGGACTGTTTCTCAGTCTCAGTGTGACAGGCAGAGCTTGGTGAAGAGAGTGCAGTGTAAAGCGGATGCATAGAAAAGAGCGTGAGATTGAAGGCTCCCTTCTTCCCACGTGGTGCATTTTTTTTTCTCTTCTTTTTCTTTTTTTAATTACAAATACTCAGGTGATTTGGGTAAGAATAGCGTGTGTTCTGTGATCCTCAGCCCCAGTTGCCCGTGGTGGTATGCACAGGATGCCCTCATCAGTGGTTCAGTCTTTGTGTTTCCAGCAGCCCCGGGGTTCCCCGGAATCCTGGCTAGAGGGATGTGAAGATAAAGAGCCCAGGCCCCAGTTGTACAAAGAAAATTGTGTCATCTGGACAAGTAGGAAGGTCTGTCACTTTGAGTCACCGACACACGAACAGCTAACACACAGCTCAGGAGGAATACCACCAATTTAGGAAGACTCCAGACTTGTCTTATCTTATGGTCAGAGGCCAGGGAGAACAGAGGTCATAGGGGCTTGCAGGGTCCTTTACTAGCCTGGAAACTGACCTGATTCATGGGCTGTTTTGGAAATGTTTTATTAGGAAGTAATTTTTGAGTTTATAGGAAAGAATTTCTGCTGAGTCTACACCAAGGCTTCTAGTTTTTGTCCTTTCCTTTCTGTGTTTATATTTTCTCCCCCTTGAGTCATATGAAAGTCAATTGGGGACATGATGCTTCTTTGCTTCTAAGTGCTTCCTTGTGTGTTTTGAAGTGTTAACACACTGTGTCAAGCAGATTATTGTGTGCTTGCTCATGTCTACTGGAGAGTTGAGGAAGGGTACATATATGTGGAGGCAGGATGTGGGGTTGGGTTGTAGTGACAGTCCCTGGTAGAGAAGGGAAGCAAAATTTGTCTGTTCTGCATTAATAAAAGTTTTTTTTTTTAAATTAATGTGTATATATATGCACGTCTGAGTGGGGGCTTTTGCATGTGAGTGTAATGGCCATGGAGGCCAGAAGAGGGTGCTAAATCCCCTGAAGCTGGGGTTAGAGCCACCGGACACAGGTACTGGGAAGGAAACTCCGGTCCTCTGCAAGAACAGTGTATGTTTTTAATGGCTGAGCCATCTCTACAGCCCCTAAGGTGTAACCCAGGCTGGCCTCAAACTCATGATTGCCCTGTCTCTGCCTTTTCAACATATCCTACTAAGAGTGTGCCACCAAAGATTTCATATCAAAAAATGTGCAAAGTTGGCTCAAAAATATCGGTGAGCTGGAGGCCTGATACCTGGTTTTGTGCAAAGTATTTCTCAGTAACTTGGTGACCTGTTGGCATCTTTGAAAGGTGTGGGCTGCACATGCTCAGATTAAGGACTTAGCAAAGTCCTGGGTTGACTGGTCTCTTGGTCCTGGACACGTATCAGTAATATGTCATAATAAAGATAGACGTGTCTTGCAGTAACATCTTCCTTGGAGGTTGAGAGCAGAAAGGGTAAGATCTGGGCTGCCGGGTTCTCAGTGGCCATGGGAGCATTGTACCACAATGCTGCATGGATGAGGAGACCCGGAGCTCTGGTTCTCTCAGAGCGATCATCCTTAGCAATTCGGTTCTCAATTTTCCTAATGTTGTGACTCTTTAATATAGTTCATGTTTTGGTGACCCCTGACCATAAAATTATTTTGTTGCTACATCAAAACTATAACTTAACTTTATAGAGGAGAGGTGGCTCAGTTCCAAAGACCATTGGAAACAGGTGTTTTCTGATGGTTGTGACCCACAGATTGAGAATTGCTGAATTAGACTGATTGGAAGTACACTATATTGGGCCTCTGTGTGTGTGTGTGTGTGTGTGTGTGTGTGTGTGTGTGTGGTGTTGGGGGAAACCCCATGCCACTGCCACTGAGAGGATAGACTAAGCACAGTGTGATTTTTATGGCCCCTTTATGGTTCGTCTTGGTGGATCCCGCTATCTTGCCATACTTTACTTTTTCTCAGATCATTGTCTAAACTGGGAATTCCCAGATTCCCTCCCACACCTGAAGGAATGGGATGGTTGAGGTGTCTCGGGAAGACTTGTGGGTCTCCCTGCTCCACTCCTATGTTTGGGCAGATTATGGTTTGGGACCCCTGGGCACACTGCATGCAGCATACTGGCTGGTCCTGCTGTAAGTGCTATAAGCCTTCATAAAACGTTACCTCCTGTGCTGACCGAACAGCTGCTTCTGTCCAGATACTCCTCCTCCTCTTCTTCGTTTTATTTTTTATTTTATGTTTGACAGGGTCTATCTTTGTTGAATTGGCTGGAGCTTAGGGTTAGCTTCCCATCTATGCCTCCTAAGTGCTGGGTTTTGGAATTACATGTGTGTGCCAGCGTGGCCACATCCCTTCATTTATATTCTCACATTCTTTTTTTCTCTTTCCTTCCTTCCTTCCTTCCTTCCTTCCTTCCTTCCTTTTTTTTTTTTTTTTTTTTTTTTAAAAAAAAAAAAAAAGAAACCAATGGCTGGGTGTGGTGGCTTTAATCCCAGCACTAGGAAGGTAGAAGCAGATGATCTCTGAGGTCGAGGCTAGCCTGGTCTACGGAGAGATAGTTCCAGGACAGCTAGGGCTACCCAGGGAAACCCTGTCTTCAAAAAACTAACCCCCCCCACCCCCAATAAAATAAAACAAACCCTAGCTCTATTGAGATGTGATTCATGTGCCATACAGTCCATCTAGCTTTGTTCAGGCAGAGGCTGGGTTCTTCTAGAGATGCACCAGCTGCCCAGTCAATGGGACGTTCCCCAAGATCCCTTTTTCTAAAAACAAGCCCAAACAAACCAGACGCACAGCCCTGGATATCTAATAAAGAAAATAATTAAAAAGGCCTGTGAGATTCAGAGGCCTGTCTTTGATTTACAAAGGAGCATCTGGAGCCCAAAGATGTTTCAGGCTGTGGTGGAGCAAGGAAAGACCTAGGCTTGAAGGTAGCTTTGCCTCTGCCCTCACTCTGCTGCCACTACAGGTAACGGTTGCACAGACTCACCACCTGGATGAAGCTTGGTATATTCTACAGCAGGCTCTAGTTAAGGTGTTGGGGCTATCACAGCCTTCCTGCTTGCTTTTCTGGCTGAGGATGAGGGTGAGGTCAGTGAACTAGAGGGGGAATTGGTGTTTTGATGGGCAAGGAGTAGTTTCTGCCTCCGCTGGACATGGGTGAGGCCACTGCCCAGTCATTTTTGAATGAAACACTGGGGCTTGCCGTTTGGGCTTGCTGCCTGCTTCTGCTCAGGGTATTGCCTTCCAGATTCTGAGCATGTAGCTGGGCTTTATTTTTGCAGTTCGGTCAGTACCTCACCTATTTATCAGTTCTAGAAAATTTGTGCTCATGCAGATGTGTGTGCATATATAAAAATATGTACATGCATAGAATATGCACTTCTAGGAGAGTGGGAAATTATAGAAGTGGGTAGTAGTGATGGAGAACCTCAATATTTTAATGTTTTTGAAATACCCCCCCCCAAAATCTCCAAAGCCAAAAGCCCCATGAAGATTAGATACTACTGTGTGGCCACCTGAGAGCATTTTAGCATTCACTGCTGACCACAACACTGTTTCTTTCTCTTGCAGTTCTTGCTAAGCTGCAGCAGCTGCTGCGAGGCCTCTACCAAATCACCTGTCCCAGAGCCTAGCTGGGGCCAGATGTCCATTTGCATGTCCAGCCCTTGAGTCTTCTCCAGATCCTGTTTTCTTTCAAGTATTTCCCAGCTCTAGGTTTTCCAGGTTTATGGAACACAGGACTCATGGTATCTCACTCATCAACGTGTTTTTCTCTTTTTAGCCAGGAAGACCAGCAAACAGGTGTTTGTCAGCTACAACCTCCCCAACACAGACAGTAACTTCACGTTACTCGTAGAAAACAGGATCAAGGAAGAAATGGAGATGTTTCCAGAAAAGTTCTGAGCAGCAGGAGGAAGAGTTTGTAACCTTTGTATAAATTACGTTGCATTAAACAGGTTGGGTTTTGTCCTCAGGCTGCAGTATACTTTGTTTTAAATGGGTGCATTTCATGGGTCTTCTCCTCTCAGTGTGGGTATCAAAAGGCTCAAACTGCTGGGCTCAGGGAAGGAACAAAAGGGAGCAGGCAACAAACACTTCCTGTTTAGTGCTAGAGAAAGTGTAATCGGACAGTTTAAGTCAGTCACTGCTTCCTATGTAATTCCTATGTAATTAGCTCTCCTATGAGAGCTAACAGCTGCAGCGGAAATGCTTTAGGCTTGTGTGGCAGGGCCTGAGGCTTCCATCTTGTGAACTGATGGTGTCTGCGTGCTTTCCCTGTGTTCTCTGTAAGCCTCTTCCTGGACACCTTACTTGTGTTTAAGCTACATTTGAACCTAACTGCCGCTTTCTAGACTCGTGGTCTCGGTGGAGTCTAGGTTTTTTGGCTGTTCTTTCCATCTGTGAAATGGCAGTGATCCCTTGTTGTGTTAAGTGTGAAGAAAGGCTCTACCAAGTGTAAAGGCTGTGACAGGTGTGTTTTGGCCTTAGTTTTAGTTTTTATGGACACCAGTGCCGCAGGCCTCTTTGCTCTTACAGCTACCTTTGCTTTCCCTCTCCCCTTTCTCCCTAGTACCTGCCCTTTGGCAATTTTTAATCCTTTGCATTTTCCTGTCTACTACTTGGACTCCAATTGTGGGGTTTTTTCCACCTGAGGTTCATGTGTTGAGAACCATGTTTTGACAAAAGGTGACCACCATTGACAAAGCACTTTCTAATTTTTGGGGTCCCCCTAGACCCTCTTGAGTTGACAGTTCAGGGCCTATAATTGTTTTGCACAGTTCCAAGGGTTCTGCACTGAGTCAGGCAGGGGCAGGAATAAGGGCATTTAGAAGTAGTGGTGCCTGTGGCTTGAGGGGCCACCTCCTGCATACCTTCCATGCCAACGTCTGAGGCACCAGCCAGTGTTTTGCAGTGTGGAAGGCCCAGTGGATAGCTCCTTAGGACAGAGTAGTTAGTGACACAAAAGCAGCTATGGAGAGAAGAGTTTGGTATAAATGCTTTATTAAAGAAATATTGTTTTCTTGTTAAAAAATACTACATTAGAGAAGAGAGTTTTGGGTTATCAGTCTTTCCTCACAGAATCACAGTGTAGATAGTCATTCCTTGACCTCTCTAGGAATCCTCAGGCAGAACATAAATGAGAAAAAAAAAAATTCTCTTAAATGTGCCGAATTCTCAGATGGTTTGAGAATGACACTACATAAACACTTAGGCTTAATCCGATCTCAGCCTCTGACTACCTTTTATGACTAGGATTTGTAAAGCAGAATGAGATGCCACACAGCCCCCAGGCAAGTGAAGGCCGCTTCCAGGAGAAGCCTTGAAAGGAGTGACCCAGGGAGGTCTGCTCAGCATGGAGGATTTGTTACTCGTCCTCAGTGGTAGTGAGATGCCCTTTGTGGATACCATCAGGTGAGGTAGGGAAGACATTCCAGAGGAAATCTGTTCATGGGGCAACATTTTTATTTCTGTACATTTACATACAAATTTTCCCCAAAGGTACAACAGATGCGACACCATGCAGACACGCAGCTGTGAATTGACAGTTCAGAGCTCAACATGAACTTGTGCTGTGAACGGGTACCGCCCCCATCGACATGTACAGTCATGCGGCTCTTAGAGGAAAAGCACGCATGGTCGGGTTGCAGAAAGGACAGAGGTAGGGAAGCGTTCCTCACTAGACACAACACACCGTACTGACTGCTTCTCCAAAACACACACAATACATTAGAGTGAGGTGGTGTCCTTCAGAACAAGGAGGAGTTGAAGTGTGGGCCTCCCTCAACCCATGTGCCACCCAGGGCCTGGGTGTGTGATGGTCATGGGAAATTCTTTGAATGGCACTTCCAGTTCAGGGACTTTCGTTTGGCTCTGGGGAGTAGTCATGACCAGTGTGATACTCCCCTTACGAGGTCTGGTTTTGCTTGCTTTTCATTTTGTGGCCAAACCCATTTACCAGCCCTGTCCTCCAGTTGCAGGTGATTCTAGTCTCAAAACACGAAAACATCGAAACCCTTTTCCTATTTGTCTTGGGTGCTAATAATTAGATATTTCATAATATTTGACTTAATAAAGAGCAGAACGAAGAACTTATCCAGCCCCGTCTCATATTTGTGCATTTATGAAAACAGGTGCAGGGATGGATGGAGAATAGGATTACATACCTTCTGATGTTCCCCAGGGAGGGAGGGGCCCAACAGAAAGGGCCAGTGCCTGAGAAGCATCAACCCACCAGGGGCACAGGACTGGGTTTAGGGATGGCAGCTTGGTGCCAGGGAGTTGGGCTGTGGCTGTCTTCTCATGAAGCTAGGCCAGAGTGTCTGAGGCCTGGGTGTCCTGCTCCCGTTCTTACTTGGTCAGACCATGCAGCAGGCTTGCCTACAAGCAAGCTTTCCTGTCGTGGCTTCCTTTTCTGAAGGTGTTCTAGCAGCTTCAGTTATCCATGCACCGAAACAGGAACTGAACTGCTTAGCCTTCCTCTGAGGCTGCCACGGGAAGGTCAGGACACTGCCAGCAGTCGGCCTTCTGAACTTCCTCTGCTCGGTGATCCCTGCCTCAGTGGCAGCTTCTCTGCTCATCCCTGTCGGGTTGGTTGCCTTGCCTCTGGTTGCTGCAGCGTTGGCCCAGTGTATTTTACCATTGCCATTTGAGGTCCTTGAAAAGAAGTTTGGAAGTGCTATACCTTGACAGCATTTCCCTAGTGATTTCTGCAGTACTCTGTCTGTGGCTTCCATGTTTAAGAAGGCCAGCACAACCAGTGTGATACTACTCAACAACTATGCGAATGTCTCATTAACAAGAGGTCGCTGCCAGGTGACTTGGTAGCAGGCACCCTGGGAAAGGTGAAAGGTAACTTACAAGTTTGGCACGCAAAGGCTGCACAGATGTAGAGAGGCTTTGGAAAGAGGATGTGTACTAATACCAAGGCATGGAAGACAGGTGACTAAAACACCAGAGAGGGTGAAAGTAAGTTGGACTTGGAGCAGGTATCAGGGACTGGCCACACAGCCTCTCTTTTAGACACTGGTCCTCAAACAAAGCACTCAGGACCCCAGGCATCAAAGAGAACATAAGCCAGCTGCCAGAAACATGGCTGGATATTGCGTCACAACCCTCATGAGGTCTTGATCAAGGCAGCTGGCTTCTGCTGATGTATCGATTGGATGTGGAAGAGAAGCAGGTGAGACTACAAAAAACAGACCAGACAAGGAGCTAGAAGGGGATAAACTCAACCCTTTTCTGGCCTTTGAATTCTAGCAACTGTCATTTGGAAGTCACTTAGTTGCGTACGTAGGCTCGAGACCGTGATTTCCCTGGAAGAACACGTGGTAGAGACACATGGCAAGAGGCAAGGCAGGTGGTTGAGAAGAAGCCACAATACACAGAGAAGCTGGTGCCTGAGCTGCTTGCTGCCAGAGGTCCAGAGGCTGGTTTCTTAGCAGCCCTGGTGCCCTGCTGTCTGGGCAAGATGAGGGATACAGATAAGGGGGATCCTGGGAGGCTGACACAGGATGGGAGTTGAGCTTTGGTGAGTTATTGCTTTCTCTCACTTCTTGCTGCTTTCAGGGGACTAGAGGCCACATGGACCCACCTATGAGCAGCCTGCACTCCTGCCCAAGGCCCCTTTGTGCTGAGTGAATGACAGGCAGGAAGCCATTGAGGAAGACATGAGGTGGACCGCCTCTAGGTGCTGTGGGCACTGTTGTGATGTCAGAGTGACAGCCATCCAAGCTGGAGCTCTCTATGGTGTGTGCTGGAGATATGAGTGGCGGCCTTGTGTGGGAGAGCAAGGCTCCCTCCTGGGATTTGCCCTAGTTGTCTTTTTCAGTTATTTTCCTGATGTTTGGAGTTCTGAGAGTGGCCACATTTTCAAGTAGTGCTGGCAACAAAGCTGACTGGGGAAGAGGGACCTTTGCTGCTGGAGTTCAGTCTGGGAAAGCTTCTTAGCAGAAACAAACATGTCTCCGACCTCAACACGACACCTACTGTGGACTTAACTAAGCAAATCCGGCGTCAGGAAACTGGTGCTTTCTCAACATGTAGGATTTCTGGTGAAGTATGGAAGTTTCCCCACAAAAACTTCCAGATCAAGTACAAAAGGATGATCCTGAAGGAAAGAAATATTAAGCTGGCTCTTCTGACACTTGGGGGCTGCTTTCCCAACACAGGGGATGGAAACTACCTAACAAACAGAAAGGAAAGAACCCAACTTTAAAATATACAGACTCTAGAAAAAAAAAAAAAACAAACAAACCCAATTCATGTACATATTCTTCTGTCTAAAATGTAGTCCCAAGGATGCTCCACTTGAGAGGCACAACTGTCCATGGCAGCGAGCCTGGAGGTAGGGGTCCTGGCCTACAGATGACCTCTGTCTTCTTGAGTGAAGAAGGAAGTTGAGTTTCGCCTCCAGGGAGGGGACCGGCCACTGCATTGGTCACTTACAGGGACTTCCTCAGAGTGACCCTGCCTCACTCTTGAGGGAGATTCTGCTTCATGATCAGTGAGAGGGAAGGGAATAAAGTGCTTCTCGTAAAAATGACCAAAATAAATACAAACATTTAATGGCAGAAAAGAAAGTCTTTCAGAGGGTTATTTCCAAAGCATCTGGCTGTTCAGATCTGTTCCTCGGATGTCTGGAAAGACAGAATCCATTGCCCCACACCAGTTGGAGGTCTCCCTGTTGAGTGGAGTCAGCAGCAGAGTAGGACTCCTCCCCCAGCCACACGTCTTCTCTCTGGTCTGTAAACCTGTGTGCAAACTTTCCCCAGCCCTTCATGCCCCAGGGGACTGGTGGAACGGTGGTATGGCCCAGCAAGCTACATGGACTTCATGCCATTGGCAGTGGCCCCCTCTGGCAGCCCATCCCCCACTGCAGCCACATCGTGCAAGCCCGAGTAGTCCTTGAGCTCAGCGTTGGTGAGCAGCAATGGCTGTTCTCCCTTCTTGTGTGGCAGCAATGGCTGCCGTGTG